TGGTATCGTTATAAGTGGACTGCACTGTAGCACAATGCGAGAAGAGTGAGAACACCAAGGCAAATGAAGTGGAAGCAGCTTAGTCTCGCATCTCACTCGATACGAATTTAGAAAAATAATGCGCATAGATTCCATCTGTGTATTCTAGTATTTCTGTCAACCTTCATATTTATATTCAGGCAGCAGATTGCACAAATTACACACGTCGTCTTGAATAGTTCTCACAAATTACACACGTCGTCTTTAATAGTTCTCACAGCACCACAGACAACTTCGACGTATGCAGGACCAATCCATCCCTTCCACCATGTTAGGGCGCACGCCCATGAGATGAAGGCCAAGCGGTGTCCAGTCTGGCATTTCATTTATTCATGGCGCGCGTAGCACTGCAAATCTTGGCAGATGAGATCGTGAGCATCCAGTGCATGCATTCCTCTTCACTTCTCAAAATTATTTTAACACGCATAAGGGCAATTTAGAGTGTTTACAGACAGAAGAAAATTGTGCCTAGCGGTTATACCAAGTTAATATGAGGCAAAAAGACTTTCCTGGCCTATTGCGCTCTGGATATTTGAACCTGTGTAGCCTTTTTCAACCATGCCAAAAAGAGAGAGACCCAGAATCATGTTTATTCGTCGGTGGACACTTCACTCACCATGCTGGACTAAAAATGGAGCGACCGTATTCCGTAAACCCTGTGGGAAAAAAATGCATGGCTATGCTAAACCATTACGCCTTTGTATCATCATAAACTAAAACACTTTTATTTGCTTTCCTGTCGTAGACACAGATCCCACACATATTCCTTCGAAAATCTGGGTTTTGTAAAAGTTTATTGTGCCTATATCCGGCCTCTAGTTATAACCCATATCTTCGCGAAGCCAAGCTGGGCCATTGAAATATTACTCTCCATGTATATATATATATATATATGTGACGCTATGATGAGTCGGAGACGTGGCCTGGCTCATACGCCATGTTTATTTCGTTCTCACTTCTTCCTCCTCTACTTCTACCAATCATCGCTTCATACGTCACACGATTCCCCCTCCCCCCGAAAGAAGGCATGGATTACGAACAAGGAAAAGTACACAAGGAGAGGTTGAGAAGTCACAAATGTCAAAATGCACAATTGGTTTCATGGCCCCGTGGTGTTCCGTAAACTCGCAAAACTTCAGGAAAGAGTGCAGCAGTCCAGTTAACGCAGGAGTTCTGGTGGGCGAGGCTGATGGTTGCGTCCTGGATAATACAAGAATGCTTTGGACGTGGAGATAGCGGAAATCACAGCCGGCATTCTTGTGAAGAACAAACGAGGTTCGAACACCTTGCAGAATGGACAGTTCGGATATCGTAGGCATGGGATTCTTCGTCGTGGCACAGGTCGTGCAGGCAGCTTGCGTGCGCGTTGATCGAGGTTGATTGGGCGCTGCCTGTGTTTCTGCCGAGTACAAGGGGTGCTTTTGTGGCTTTTTGGTGGAGAATGTATCCACGACGATGGGCCTTTTTGAAATGTTCTTTGAGCCTTAAAAGCGCTTTTGATGAGGTTTCCTTTCGTCGTTGACAATGTTGAAGTATACGTTGACGTTGTAGTTTCTTGGTTTCGTCGACTTGCTTGTGGTGTGACATTGATCGTGCTTTGTCAGGATTCTTAGCAAGTCCTTTGCAGGCTTCTACGACGTGAACCAATGCAGATATTTCCGGCACAAAACAATGTGCGGGGTTTCGTGCACTTGAATATTCTGTATTAATAAATCGTTCATTGTTGGTGGTTGCCTGAAGATTACTTGTGTCATCAGAAGTCGCACCTCTGCTTTTGTTTTCATTGTTGGCAGTGAGGTTGTATACTGGATTCACGTCACTTCGATCTTGTAATTGATTAACACTAGACGCTTCTGCAGAAGACTTTCCTTCACAAGATGCTAATTGTGAATGCTTCTGTCTTTGTGGCACTGCTGAGCTGAATGCCAAGTCAGTTTGCAAAGTACACATGTGGCATGAAGTATTAAATGCATCTCGGTCATTAATAGTGGATTCAATTCTTTTATGCAGCGGTGAGTTGAGCATCGATGATATATCCGCGGATGAGGAACCAGGTGGAAGGTTGGGAACACGACCACGTGGTCTTTCCGTGAGCATGTGGCTAACTTCACCTGATGGGAATTGTAAATTCATGCTCTGTGCTCGAGTGCGTGAAGGCTGCTTATGACTGCGATGACTGTGTTTGAATGCACTGAGACTGCGTGTGCTAATCAAATCTTCACTATAGTTTTGAAACCAGATGATCATTCCTTCTTTTATCTTTTGCCAAGACTCGTCGTTGTCGAATATGTGGGTGAGGTAAAACTTAAATGCCTCACCGGTGACATAGTCGCTGAAGTTCGTAACCATCTCCCGTTCCGACCAAGATGCAGCGGTAGCGTGGAGCTCGAACAGGTCGAACCAGTCCTGTACAGGTCCATCGTCCACTGTTCCGGTGTACTTGGGGATGGGAAGGTCGGTCGATGGTTCTGCCATGATGCCGGTAACTGCTTGCGCCTGAGATCACCTCTTCTGTGGTCGATATTCAGTTGAGGCGTATTGCTGGTGGCTTCATGAATGATGTGTGGCTGGTTGATGACGTGGCCGCCAGGTCTTCATCCTGTCGACTTGTGTGACGCTATGATGAGTCGGAGACGTGGCCTGGCTCATACGCCATGTTTATTTCGTTCTCACTTCTTCCTCCTCTACTTCTACCAATCATCGCTTCATACGTCACATATATATATATATATATATATATATATATATATATATATATATGAAAGGTGCTTTTATGGCCGCTTCATGAAAAGCACACACAGGGGTTTGGCCTGCCACGTCGCGTGGATTTGTATGGGCGCAGCTGTGAAAAGGAAGTTGACAGCTGCTGCCGCTTTTTTTTTTTTTTTGTGAGGGCACTAATAGCTTGGGGCCACTCTCACCCGGGAAGCCAGCATGAATTAGTTGAGGACGACGTCTCTGTATAAGTCAGAGAGATCTCGCTTCTCGCGTGCTCGCTTTTTGTGCACACACGCGGTAGTGCAGACCTGTTGAGATTCTTGTCATGTTACATGTGATACTATGCCGCACTACTGTTGTGTGCCGCTGTGTAATACGAATACTAGAAGAGACCCATTAATCCGATACCACAAGTTTCGGTGCAATGCAGAGTGCCATAAAACACGCCTGAAAAACATTTCTTACCAGGTATCAAGAAGAAGAGGAAGCCCTTGGGAGCTAAGGCCTTTGGTGTGTTTGCCACACTTCACCAACAATGACCATGAGAAGTGAACGAAGCTGAAGATATTGCTTTCAACAGCTGTTCCCGGTGTCTTCCTAAACCACTCAAGAGTATATGCATGAAAAAAACGAACAAACACAGGGCCGGAAACGACGTCGAAGAACTTGTGGGGGTGTTTTTGATACAGTGGAAGAAGCAACGGCTGATCGTGAAGAATTAGGGCATGCAAGAGCAGGTGCAGTTGCCTCAGGTTTCTTCTGAGAGAAATGAGTGACAAGAACTCGGAGGCGACGGTGGAAATGAATCCCAGAAATTTTTTTTCCTTTTCGACAAAGCATGCGAAACAACGCTCAACATTGTGAACATGTTGAATTAAGCAAAAAAACAGTGCAAAAAAGACTGAGCACTGGCTCACGATGAAAATTAAACGTCAACAAGACGCGCTTCAGAAACTGCAGGAAGAGCATATGACATAATGAGACAGTGACTTCAACACTATGATGACAGTAAAGAAATACAAGACTTTGTGGAGTTGCTCAAATCAGCCAACGAATATAACAAAAGAGCTTTTTTTTATCATTAGCCAAGGTATGCGATTTCGGTAGCAAATAACCTAAATATGTCGAAACACGAGGTCTGTTAAAAAATATTCAATCTTAATTTTTTGTAAACATTTGATAAATTTAAAACAAGCGTGCTTGCGCCGGTGTACCTTGAGCCTTCATGCGCATGCGGGAATACTTTCTCGCCTCCTGAAAACATCAGTCGCTGGGACGAAGTGAGTGAGACAGTGTGCAGTGCAGTCGTCGGTTTTTTTATTGTGAAGAAATTGACGGAGCAACTGGGGCCCCGCTACTGCATCAAATTTTGCCAGAAACTGGGTAACAGACAAGTGGGAACCATTCAAAAAACGGCATTCGGTGACAATGCTATGAGCAGCACACAGATTGAGGGGTCACACAGCTGGTTTAAAAACCGCCACACATTGTTGGAGTGTGAGTCATGCTCCAGAAATGACTAAGTCATTGCCAAAGTGAACGCTGTAGTGATGTGATACTGTCCTGTTTATTATACAAGAAATTGCGGAACAGGTGGGCATCAGCACTTTGTTAAACAGGTCACAAGCACATATTTTATTTGTGTCCTTTGAACTTGCCATGTTCCCGAAAAAAAAACTCGAATTTTGCAACTTTATTCAATACTGCTCATGAGAAAAGTCCTCGAACAATAGATATTATAAGTAAGTCACTATTTTGTCAGTTAGATCACTTCGTTATGTTGCCACAAATACCATTTTATCAAGTGGTTTTCAAAAACATCTTTTGAAAAAAAATTGTTCTTGACGCCCCCTAGCTCAGTTGGCGCCATACTACAGACTCTCATAAATAGGTAGGAAAATTTTTGGCAACGGAAATAAACGACCAGGGCAAGTATTAGACTTTGAGAGACACGTGGAAATAATTTCACCCATATTTGTGACAGTTGAAAAAATGCTGGATGATTCGGCATGGAATGACCCTATTGTTCCTTAATTTGTAAGTTTCAATTATACATGGTACTTTCGTTCTAATTGTGGAATGATATTGTTTTTACGTTTCTTCCACTCGTGTAATAGCCCTATGTAAGGACTGACAATATCTGTAACTAAACAAATAAACAAATGAATTTGCTTTGAATGTAAAATTCACTACTCACACAAGCCTAATAAATATGCTGACTTTAACACAGTGTAAACGCTCACCGAAGGCAGCACAGGCCGCACCGGGCACGGCAGACCTTTGGGGTCCGTAGGAAATGCAACCTCCACTTTGCGCAGCTTCTGCCCCAGGCGCTGCAACTGCTTGCACACATCTTGGTACTTGAACTGAAATATCATTCACCTTTGCTTCAGCACAGTGCACACTTTAAAGGCCCCCACCTACAGATACGCACAATTTCAAGCATTTATTTTGTTCCCAAAGCTGTATTTCCAGAGTGATTTCCAGACTTGAAATAACGCAGAGAGCAGACACAAAGACGGGACAAAAAAGAAAAAGAGTGCAGTCTTTTTTGTCCCATCTTGCACTCCCTTTTATCTAAAGACAATGCACAAACTCACTCAGTAAAGCATTCTTTCAACTGCAAAACATCGAGCATTTAGGGCCAAGATAAATTTTTAAAAATACACGTTGCCTGGCTGTGACTACGAAGAAGGCAGCAGTCAAATGATAAAAGCAAAACCCTTTAGTGAGCGAACTTATGCCTTGTAATTTGAGTAATGCTCACTGTACAAACACCCACAACACAACAATAACGGCAGTCGTTTGTAATCTGATCCAGCGACTCGTCTATTTCTTCAGTGCCTGGGTGGAGAAGGGGAGCGCAATGAGAAAAGGTCGTCAGCTATTAATACCGCTTTTAGTCGCCAGGCGCCACCACAGGAGTATATCTGCCGACACATCGTCTCTCGCGCAAAGGAATGCCGTGGCTGCATTCAAAGCTGCTATACGGTTCCATTCTCAGCTGTATTTGCACTGTTTAAAGTATAATGAAAACCTGTAAACTAGAATCATGAAGCAGTTGTCGTTCTGGGTGCCCAGCCCATTTCAAAGCCATTTGTCATTTGCGACTACTTCATCGAGGCAAGTCATCTGTCAGGCCAATACCAGAGAGCGCATGCCAGTGATCTGCGAAAGATCGTTTTGCCACCATCATGTTCACTTGACTGAGAGTTGGTTTTACAGCCAAAGCTGTTATGAGATCACAACTCGGATCACACGCAGTTGTCTGCCGCCGCCAGCGGTGTCCGTAACCACATCCCATAAAATTAGAAAAAAAAACCTAGCACTAAAGACAAAGTGGGGCTCGAACCCGGGTCCGCTGGGTGCTAGCCCAGAATTCTACCACTGAGCTACACTGGTGCTTGTGACTTGTTGGCAAACTTACCTTTGGCAGGTCGGGAAAGCAATCACGTTAATACAACTTATAAAGCGTTTTAAAAGAGCGAAAGAACAACCAGTCGTCGCACAATGCTAATTTTTTTTATTTACTTATTTGAACATACTGCAGGCTTTTCACGGCCCATGCAAGAGTGGGGACGAGAAGATACATACTAAGCATCGGAAGAAAATACATACCGGAAGAACAAGAAAGAAGATATATTGTCACACAGCTCATAATTCAAAATAGACATACTGTATTAAGTTCATAAATGATTGAATAGTGTTACAGCACACAATATTGTTGTCTGGTCCATTCCAATGGTGGACAGCTGACGGAAAAAGGGAATGTTTGTGAGCGTTAACACGACTGAAAGGTTGGTGGATAGTTTTGGATTGGTTCAGTCATGGGTGTTTGGGCGGGTCTAGCAGGTAATGAGATCGCAATATGCGGGATTGACCATCACATAATTGGTAAAGAAATTTTAGTCGCGAGATAATTCTGCGTTGGGAAAGAGGTTTTAAGTTTGCCCTTGCGAGCAAGTCTGCAGAATTGGATTGCCTCGAGAAGTCTGAATATACAAATCGAACTGCCAATTTTTTGCATTCTTTCTATTTTATTCATGAGGTGCTTTTGATGTAGACTCCAGATGAGTTTGGCGTACTTTAAACATGGCATAATTAGTGTTTTGTATGCATCAAGTTTAAGGTGTGATGGTGCAGAGTGCAATTTTCTCCTCAGGAAGGATAGCCTCCTCTCCGCTTTACGACATATGGCTAAAACATGTGGTTCCCAGTTGAGGTTCGATGAGAAAGTAACGCCTAAGTATTTTACTTGGTCGCTTTTGTCGATAGTTCTGTTTCCTATAGTAAAGTTAAGGGGGTTGGTCTTATTTGTGAATGAAATGAAGTGTGTTTTGCTTGTGTTTAATTTCATGCCCCAAATCGCACCAGGAATAGATCATTTGCAATGAATTGTTCAGGTTAACTTGATCGCTTGAGTTGTGTACGACTGTGTACACGACACAGTCATCTGCGAATAGTCGCATTTGAACAGGATTGTTAACAGAAAATTGAATGCCGTTAATAAACATTAAAAACAAAATTGGGGCAAGTACCGATCCATGAGGTACTCCCGAGTAAACAAACGTAAAGAGTGGGCCGCCCAATGCTTCAGCCAATTACAAAAGCTTGTTCTTGTTACCCTATTCAAATCAATTAGCCGATGATGCAGCCCGCTCAGCCCATGAAGAAACCCGTGTAATCCCAATTCCTTTATCAAGGAATGACGCAGCAAGACAACTTTACCTGCTGGCTCGAGATCTCACATGCACGTTCTGGTCGTCTACCAGCTTCTAAAGGTGTCAATTTTATGAACTGGATCCTTCGCTCAAGCTAAAGCTACCATCACAACTTTCCCGCTCCGATGCGACACTGTTATGCCGCCTTTGGTTGGGTGTTGCATTTACAAAGGTGTACTCTTTTCGTATTGGTATGGCAGACACTCCTACATGCGACTACTGCGGAGCTGAAGAGACCATCGAACACGTCCTGTGCAGCTGCGCTTGCTACGACACACAGCGATGCCAGCTCCGGATGGTTTTGAATCGACTTGACCCCGGACCATTTTGTGTGCAGAAGATACTAGGATCTTGGGCATCTGCCTCAGTTGCGCAGAAAGCAACTAAAGCACTGCTACTTTACCTTAAGTCAACAAACCTGAGCGATCGCCTGTAGACTGTGTGTGCTCCCCGAGTGTGCTCGTGATTGTGTGTACCTTCTCATCTTTCTGCAACCTCTTTTCTCCCCTTTATCCCTTCCCCAGTGCAGGGTAGCAAACCGGATGTGCGTCTGGTTAACCTCCCTGCCTTTCCTTGCATCTTTATCTCTCTCTCTATCTCTGTTACCCTATTAACTATGGGGCATACCCACTTCAGCGATAATTCCTCACCGTCGTCAAACACTGCATCAACAATTGGCACGAAACTTCCTTGCAAGTGTTTAGCAGATACCACACTCTTTAGAAGAATGACAAAAAATAGCATAGCGAATGCCGGCCTACTACCCAAAAGTTTATTATTAATGTATTAATGCCCTAGTGGGTATCCAGCAAGTGCGCTTGCAGTAGTTACCTAATGAGTGTTTTGAAAAGGCTCTGAAAATCTGCTCTTCTATCCTGCGCTGTGACTGTGCTGCGCCCTACCGTGCAGGCTTGGCATTTTTTTCGACTCACTGAAAATCAATTTTTGACAGCACCATTCGCCAGGAGGTAATACTTAAAGCTCGGGTGCCTAATGTTCCCTGATGCTTGCTGCTGTCTAGAGGTGTAGCGAGTTATACGCAAGCACTGTAGCTATGCGCTAAATAGCACAAAATGCCATTAGATTGCTTCCAGGGTGCACCCGTGATCACCCGTTCCCTTCGTACAGTTTTTGAGTACTACATGTGTTGCCAATGACAGAGAGCACATCTGCTAGAAAATGAACTATGCCAGGCGATTTCACCCTTTCAAGTTTTAAGAGCTTCTGACCAGGCCCCTTAACGAATTTTAGTTAGACTTTGGCAGTTGTTGTGAGTCCAATTAAGAGCATTATGCCACAAGAATTTTTTTCCATTGATTCATTACAAGCTGAGAAAACTGGTATTTTGAAGCGGTGCAAAATCACGGTGTGAGGAGAGGAGCTTGAAACTATTGTCACTCGACCTGCGTAGCCTTCACAAGCCAAACCTTTTTCCTATCCTCTAGAGCATCCCAGCGAAAGAAACAGGTCATGCGGACGTCAGGGCACGTGCGCATTACGAGCCCGAGCAATGCATGTGGTGTTGTTTTGCTGACCAGCGTTATTTTGTGGTCAAATTCCAGCCCATAATCAAGCTTGCAACTTATTACCAAGCACGAAAACTGCGACATTTCACTGACACTAGAGTGGCGGGATCGTGGGCCATTGTCGTATTAAGGTTTAGTTGGACGTGGTAGAATAAATTAGCATAACGAGGGCTCAAACATGCCAGAAGATTACTTTTAGTTTCTAGGGCTGGCATCTGCTAAATTTGTTGCTCAATTTATTACTGCAGGAGCGTGAATGCATGCGAAACGAATGCACACTAGCCCCGCATATCACTGCAATTCATGAGAACAAAGTAAAAGAGACGCAAACATTCCCTTTGCGTGTCTCATTATTTCGTCAAGTTTCATTCATCTATTCAAGCGAAAAATTCCTCAAGCTACACATGTCGTGACAAATTATTTTTGCCGTATCACGTGCCACTGCGCTGTTAATAATGTCAGAGCACAGTCGTTTTCGTAGAGGACTGACGTCACAGCACTACCGTTTGGTAGTGCTGTGACGTAGAACAATTCTGCCATATACATCGTCCCCTCATTTTCTGGGCGTGAGCGCTTGAGAAAAAGGGCAAAGGGCATTCATCTTGAAATTTGACCCATTTCTACGGCGCTTGAGATTGCGAATTTTGGCAGACACTATCGTGAACGCCCAGTGTACGCATTGCGCTTGCCATGTCAAAATAGTCAAACCTGGTGAGAGGCCCTAAATAGTGAAATTGTGGTGGTACGAAAAACACACGAACAAAAAAACAGCTGCATATGCCATGCAATTCCTGCAACCATGGCGAATGTTTTGAACCGGCGCTATTGTTAAAGTCTAAAGGCCAGCTTACAACTTCAGCCAATGTGACAGCAGTGAAAAATGCGGCCTGTTGTGAGTTGCTTAAGCTCATTTGGCATTTGACGAATTGTTGTCGGCTGTAGGGGGTCCGTCCTATGTACGGCTGACACAGAAGCCTAGCTAACGTTCCAGCCACACACAGTCGTACCGTGCACAATTAATGTCCCCTTTCTGTAGATTGAGTCATAGCAGCTACACGGGTTTGGGCGAATAAGGCAACAGGCTAGATCAACAAACAACACTTTATTGCTATACACTAGCAATAACGCGTAAAAGTCGCGTAGACAGACTTCAGATAACAAAAGTGTAGACGCTTAAACCTCGGTCGTTGTTGTCCTTGGCTCGCAGGGGGTTCCAGGTTCGTCCTTCCTCTTTGGTGGCCGGCGTCAGAGAGAGCCTCCGGCCGTCACCACGCTAGTTTTCTTCACTATCCCGGTTTATCCTTCCCTGACAAAAATTCGTTTCTTCCCTGATGGAGGGGAAACCTGTTCCGCAGTTCGGGAAAGAGTAATCGCGAGCGCCGGTCCCGGGGTGTCCCATCCTTTCGCAAGAGGCTTTACTGACTTGTGTCTTGAAGGGACAGTCATGTCATCGCAACTAGGCTGTCACACTGCCGTAAAATGGAAAGGGTGGCTGGGCGCACGTGCTCCCCCACGAGGCTCAGCATCTGGCTCCTCGGCCCTGCTTTTCTTTTTTTCTTCCCTCTGGCCTCTTCAGCAGTGAGAAAAGCAGAGGCCTAATGGTAGTTGACCTGAATGCTTTTAATGCACAGGGCACCCTGCTCAGCCTTAAGCATGCATTCATTACGACAATGCACATGATAATTTGCTTGTCTTGCCAATAGCTCATGTGCTGCCCATGGGTTTCCATTCGGCTTCAAAATATAATGTTAGCATTGCACACGGCAGTGATCATGATGCAATGCTTCTACTGATAGACTCATTCGTTGACTGTTCAGACACAGTGCAATGACGTTTAGTGACACTAACTGCCATGCTTGCAAACATGAAGAGTATTCCATTCAGCTTCGAAATATAATGTTAGCATTGCACACGGCAGTGATCATGATGCAATGCTTCTACTGATAGACTCATTCGTTGACTGTTCAGACACAGTGCAATGACGTTTAGTGATACTAACTGCCATGCTTGCAAACATGAAGAGTAGATTTGCACAGTCACTTCTTATGAAGTATAAAATATTTGGCTTGTAAATGATGGTAACACATTCGAGTGTAGTTCGAAAATATATTAGGTATTGAAAGACCAATTATATCACCCAGGTTTCGCACAGGTTTTCAAGGCGAAAATTCAAAGATATTTAAAGACTTTCCAGGATCTGTCACAAGTTTTTCAAGAACTCATAGTGGCATGCAACATTGGAATTTCATCGTATAAAATTATCAAAAATGACGCATATTATTGCACTTACAATAAAAATGCATTTTGCATTTACAACAAAAACATCTAGTCTTAAAAATTTCTCCAGGGCAGATTTTTTCAGCATAGGCTTGAAATTATTCAAATGCACCGAAAACATCCTGTGCAGCGTTATTTAGTATGAGTAAATGTATATCTTAATGGTACAACAACAAGTAGCCTGGATCACTTTGCAAGTCTTAAACAGTAAAAAAAAAAAGCTCACAACACAGTGTACTCTTACAACAGCGGCTGAGATTTCTCCACTGTATACTCTGTAAAGTTCATCAAACATATTCCAAACATTAAGCTTAATGTTATTTGACTTACACAAAGATTGACAAACATGTACGAGGCATAAACTTGATTTCATGTGCGAGGAGCGGTAGCGGCAGGGTCACTTCACGCTTAAAAGCATGCAGCATATGCTAAACTTTATGTTCACCCCCCCCCCCCCCCCCGCCCCCAACTAGTGTGGAAGGGAAGTACAGGAGGCTAGCTGAAAGGCGCGAAGCGTTGTGCTGGAGAGGATGGAAAGCTATGCAAGCACAGATTTCACCTTCGTAGCTGGTCTGCTTGGCTGTTTCAGACCCGGTAGCAGTGGCGACATAGGGGGGAGAAAGTATGTCTCTTGCTGGGTGACAAGTTCGGTCAGTTTATCTAGAGCCCCTCTTCAGTGTGGGCTAGACCTGATTTCTTTTTCACCTGCTCATGCAGCTTAAACTGAGAATTTCAGCAGTTACCTTCGGTAAGTGCAGTGCTGTGCACCTACGCAGGATAACCGTAGCTGCACAACTGAGAGAACATTTCGATATCACCACTGTGCACACAGCGTGTAAAATGCACATGATGTTTTTGTGTGGTTTCTAACACGTTCACTACTGCTGCACACAATCACCAGTCATAAATATGTGGAACATCATACAGTAGCCCAAAATCATATCAGTAGGCTGAAGCCGCACCGAAACCGCGACGCTTGCCTCGATAATGCCTCAGTGGTGAGTGACGTGGTGCAGAGGTGTCGGTGAAATTACGCCGTCTCTGTGCAATTGAAACGGCAGAGGGGAACTTGTAGGTCGAACAACTCAGAGGCCGTACTCCATGCGCAGCAGTTCTCAAGAACACAAAACAAAATTTGAAAGCGTTAGGTTGTGCACAAGTAACAGCTATGACAGTTGTTACTTCACACTCATCCTGTGCACACCTGCGCATTCTTTTCGAGCATCCATCTTTGTGCTTAAGCAGCACCTTACAAATGTCAAGCAGTGACAGTTCGTTACCTTTCATCCTGTGTGTGTTATTTTCGTGCGTCCTTCATGCTTAAGTGGAGCACTGCATGTGCAGAGTTACTTGCTGTTGTTTATGAAACATTGTTGCTATCACTTTCAATGCTTCGCCATCTCCACAAAACTGACTTTTTTTTAACGTGCAGTGCAATTCTGCACACTAGAACCGCGTGCGCCCACACCGCACTACTGCTTCGTAAATGGGGAGTCTGACAGATTGACATGCCAATCCACTGTGCTTAGAAGGCCGCAATGTAGATATGAGAATGCACTGCTCAGGATTATCAAGGATTTTTAAGGACGGAAAAAATTCCAGGACTTTTAAGGGCCTTGAAAAGACATTTTTCTAATTCAATGGTTTTGAAGGATTTCAAGGACCTGTAACGCACTCTGACCGGCTGATTACTGAAATAAACCTCCCCTGAACACCAGCTGCAGCAGCACTTTCACGGAACGACAGCCGTACAGTGTAGTATCAAGAGGGACATGGGCCCCAAAATCTTTTTTTTAATTTTTGGCTCCATCTCAAGTAAACCTCACTATATGAGGTAGTTTTTTTTCCAAATCTTCAATTTGTTTTTTTAATAGCTCGAGTGGTTCAAGTGTTTTTTTAATAGCTCGCCTGGTTCACTTAGCTTCATCATCAAAAGCAAAAATTAATCACCTACGGCATCCAGTGTTGCCTTGTGTCAGCGGCGTCAACATGATCTTAGTGATACAAGATATCATGATTACGTGAAAACGTCGTCATGCGACGTCCAAGTTAATAAAATGGTCTGACATATATGAAGGTCACACAACGTGACGTCATCACATTACATTTTGGCATGGTCTAAATGGGCAGATCACCAATCACAATCACAGTGCATAACCAGATGAGGGGCAGAAAGCTAGCATTGTCTGCAACCTTTGATGCAGTACGAAAACCACATTGGGCACAGAAATATATTGGTGGGAAGCAGGAAACGTTCAATACATTGAATGGGAAGAAAAAGAAGATGGTTTTCATTTTTCCGTCGTCTACGGTGAATCGAGCAGAGAACCTGTGTGTTTTTTTGTTTATAACTAATGAGAAATAAAAAAAGACAATCTGATTTCTTTCCGTTTGGTATGCAAAGATGTACACAACAGTATGACATACTGATGTATGCAAATGGTGAGGTTGCAAAAGCCTAAAAGAGAAAACAAAACGTGAACGTGAACTCATTGGCTTATACACATCTAGGATAGAATATTTCAGCGTTATTGTTGGTGGCTGTGTTAAAGCCACAATAAACTATTTTTGTTAATGTGACCAGACCACACTCAGATATTTTTATTTCTAAGAGATTTTTCTGTCAACTGTACAAACCTAAGAAATGGTCCAAATGTGGGAGTCTACTAAAAAAATTCGGGACATTTGGTTGGTATACTTTCAACCAGTCCACATTTTTACGGTGAGTGAAGCGTTGGCGACGCCGCCTTTTGTGTGCTCTTATGCTATGTTGTTTGAGTGTTTGGTAATTTTGTGTAATGATGACTTAGCCTGTTGATAACGATTTATGGATCATTCGGCAGTCGATATCGTCAGTTGTAAATTAGTTAAATAAATGTATGTGGTTTGGTTTGTACCGACCGCGTCTTCTGTGTCCGTTCACTCCGAGAGCGTGGCGTGGTGCTCGCTCGCTAATTAGAGACCCCGCAACGTAAACCAAGAAATGGTGTAGGTTCAAAAGACTATGCATTTGGAGAGAAGAGGAAGCTATGAACAGAGTGGCTCACCATCAACTGTTTCTTGTAGGGATGTCGCCAAAGGGGTGTCACAGAGTAGGCTAGCCTGCACAATCACATGCCAGAATCAACAGCCACTTATTCGTTGAAGGGACAGCTCATCTGCCAACAAAGGCAGACTTAACAAAGGCTCACCCAGATGATCTGCCAAGAGCTTTCACATGCGGCAACTATATTCATTAAAAGAAGCAAGGGCACACTGAAGTACGTGCTACACAAAACGTATGTCTCCAAGAGCAGCCAGTGGTATTAGTCAAGAGAAATTGCGATTATTGAAAGCAAGTCCATATCTCAAACTGGCTTGGCAATAGAATACTCGCACATTGAATACATTATTTAGGCACAAGCAGGCAGCAAATAGCGAACTATTCACATACCATTTTCAGAAAGCATTCAGTTGCAGAAAAGGAAAATATCCAGCTCTAGTTTGAAGCTTGGCACGAGTACCACGAGACCTGAAGCCATTTTAGAACAGAGGTATCACTTGCGTACCAGATAAGTGCAGGTTTACATAATGTTGCAACAACTGTACCGAAGCTAAAAAGTTAATTTCTAGATTGGCAATGACATGCATTACTTTCTAATGTCACATTTTGCTAGCAACAACTACTCCAGAATTATGTACATGTGTCAGTATCCCCGCTCCCACCCCTCCAAAAAAAAATAAATAAAGGTTGAAGCATGTCCTCCAAAGTGCAACAGTGGCATATCTATAAGTGAATGCAAATGGCCTGCTACCACTGAGGGAACCAAAGGTATGATAGTATGAAGAGTGTAGCAGGGTATTTCATAAATTCGTTTTGAGAATTTTTATTGCACTCGTTACCCTGGCACATATGGATTGAAAGGGCATTGTTACCACCTCAAAAGACTGCACCAGCCTAGTGAGTCTCTCATGGAGTGGGCTAAGGCACTCGCTGCCCACAATGCATGATATCATTTGGTATGCTGATTGAACAGGTGAGGCACACACACTGGAACTGCCCTTTCTGTGCGGAAAGCGCTTGTGGGATCTGAACGCTCTCGGAACAGACACAATAGATGCACATTTATCAACAGCTTTTACATCAGTGAGCTCACCCGTCGAATGTAACGAATAACTAGTTACACAACAAATAACCTAATATATAATGTCATTACAACACACAGAGGACATAGCACATAAAGTGTACCATAAAACTGATGTCGCTGACACCTAACTCATCATGAAGGGTAACAAGCTGTGGAATCAATCTCCATGGCCCTTTTGCAAGAAATTTCAGGTTGTGCACTAAACACAACCAAAGGTTGTCGCATGTTATGTGCCTTAAATTTATATGAGTTAGCAGACTCTACATTGCAGCTCTTTTTCATCATTCAGCTTTGTTTGTGTGTACACACTTTTCTTCCATATTCTGTCTCAAGCTTCAAGAGGATGCTTTTTCACAGAGCTTCATCAATTTACCAAGTCCCAGATCACTCCCCGGAGGCCCGCGGACGCCTTGGCTCATAGGCGGCTACGCCACATGCATGTGATCCAAAAGTCCCGAGCCAGTCCAAACGGCCTCTGGCCGTTTGCGCGCTTGATGCTGTCTGCGCCCGCTGTGGCGTCTGCTATGCCGTCCTCTCCCGCCATGGCTGTGACACGGGCCACAAAGCTGACCTAATTCCAACCTAAACAGAAGTTAGGTAGTGAATTACACCTATTTCTGTTGTGATGTGACTTACTGTAAGTGAATTATTTGAGCACGCACACATCGTAGACCCGCACGGTTGTTCCACCGCTGTTTCACCAGGCGAGTATATCACGTGTTTGCCCGACCTTCAGAGATATGCACATGCTCAACGTCATTCAGACCACCTATGACAAGGACAGGGTGCGCAAACAATGCGAAGTTCACAAACATGCGAGAAGTAGACAGAAAAGCAAAGAGAGAGCAAGAGCACGTCAAAAATTTTCGTGTCCAACTTAATATGGCCGCAATGGCATGCGCTTTGCGCTGTCGGCTGCCATGTGCCCGCAAGAAATCGTTCGGACAGTCCCGGGCCGCCCACAGGCCACCAGGCACGAGAGAAACGAACATGTGTCCAAGCGATCTCGGACCAGTGGGCGGAGCTTCCGGTTGGTCCCCGAGAAAAACGAATGTGGCGACAGGCGTGCATTGTCACGCGGGTTTCTTTTTCTATTTTCATGTCACTAACCCAATGTATGAACTATCACTGCCTCACATGCACTGCGCCGTAATGTTGACCGTTCGTGGTTATTGTAGAAGAAGAAAAGAAAAATGGAAGGACACAAAGGTTAGTCAGTTCTCACACCAACTTGCTACCCTGTGCTGGGAAAAAAAGAATAAAAGATTACGAGAGAAAATTTTAGATGCCTAAAACACAACAAGAACAAAGAAGCACAGAGAAAGAGCGTCACACTTGCAGCAGATTAGGCATTTGCCAAAGAACCACAGAAAGTATTTACACTGTGCCACATATGTGCACACAACAATGCCTCACGTAAAATTAAAATCACTATTGTACACAATCAATTCGTTTTCCTAATGAGGTAAGAACTAGCCCAACAACAACTACATTTAAAGAATCAAATATAATCGAAACATAATGTTACAAAAAAGAGGAGTGGAGGGAGAACAATAATACGAGGAATGACACTGCTTAAAGAGAAATGCAATTTGACAAACACAAGTTCTTTTCCTAAATTTACATAGTTTGTGTTATAGTGAAGCCTTGTAACTACAGTATAAACCACTTATAACGTAAGTCGCGGGAGTCGCAAAAAAAAAGGTTACACCTCACCGCACAAAACGTCCGGGTGGCCTGAACCTGGGCCAGCAACTTTGCAGGGTTTTTTGTTGTTGTTTTTTTCGATCCATCCGTCCGTCCGCACTATAAGCGGTACCACACTTTAACCAAAACAGCCTTTTTCAAGGCCCCCGCATATTGGCAAAACGTGTTGAGCATACAGCTTCGTGTGCCCGAGAATCGAAACATGTGATGTGTGGTGCTTATAAACATTTAAATTTGCAGATGTCAAAAAAAATAACATCCTAAGACACGCGTTTCCAACGACATGAACGCAAAAAGAGGGGAGAGAGTCTAAAATTTAAACGAAAGCACCATAGCGAATTCGCCAAATTCTTCTAAGACCGCCTCAATTATGCGCATTACACAAAAACTATGTTGAGTCACGTCCAAAATTTTACATGCTGAAAGACTCCAATCATTCGACTTCCCGGGTGCGCACATAATTTTGAGACCTTGCAATCGAATCGCGAGCCAACATTCGAGCGCTACACGTGCCACTCTCATTTTCGTTAATGTTATGTATCTCTTCCCATCAAGTGAAGCCACATTTTCGTTGATTCTGTATCAAACCACAACTTATATAGCATGCGACCGCTACCGAAACGCAAGAATGTCAATCAGGCCTAGTGTGGCGTTTGGTATGTGGTCGCAGGAAGTTTGACCAAGACTTGAAAACCCGGCGTTGAAAAGATCTCACTCAAGCACTGAACAAGGAACAGTGTGCGTGATATAAAGTTTACGTTCACGGCCGGGAGATCAACGACAAAAACCTGAAACGCTTATAATGTAGACAGCGCACTGGCAACAAAAGTGAAAGCCTGCGTCATAAAGCCGTAAAAAGATAGCAAATGCGATTTCTGTAGCAAGCTCAATTACGACAACCCTTCACCAGACAGGAAACTGTTAAGCGCAGCTGATAAGGACCGGATCCCACGGGAGCCACACTAGCGACGCTAGTAAACAGCGGCGTCAGTGCCGGGGGCAAAGGCTTATCCGTGGCCGAGGCAACCACCTTTTTTTTCCTCTTTTCTTTTTGTTCCCTTCAGCCTTCCTTCGTTTAATCCGCGTCCCCCCCTCCTTCATAGGGACCTCGTCGCTCGCTCCCCAGCGGCGCACCCAGCGCACCCTTCTTCAGACGCGCAATCGCTACCGCATTTGTCACAAAGATTTTCTAGCAACTGTATTATAAGTTTATAACCGGTCTGTCAGCGTGGGGGACTGCACAATAAGATGTATGGGTATACATGAGGTTTTATGGGAGGGTAAAAGAGAGTAAAAAAAGACTTCATTGTAACCGGTTCTGCACTTAAAGGGGTTATATCGTAAATGGTCGACACTGTAAACAGTGGGCCGTCCTCTCCAGCGCCTTCTCTCTTCGAAGAAGAAAAGCAGCTCACTCACATATAGGCTACTACAAAAGATTTCTTGGCCGATACCCCAGAGTGGGTATGTGCCAGTGTTCACAGGCAACATACAAATAGGCAGAAAGTCCGTTCTTGCCTTGACTGTCGCTGTCGTGCATCTTCGTCGAGTGCCTGCCAATAAACGTCTTGATAATTTGGTGAAAAGTGCTGATAATGTGGTGAAAAGTGCGACCTGCATCTCCCTTAAGGGGAGATGCAGGTCGAAAAACGGCAATTTTTTTCAAAATTACCGATTTTTTATTTTTGCCTGTTTTTTTATAAGATTAGTACCTCTACTGTTATGAAAAAAAAAATAGAGGTCGAGACTTAACAGGAAATGCTTTAAAATTGCATCTAAAGAGCACAATGTGCCTGTTAAAAGATCCAAAGTGTGCAGTCTTCGAGCACATTGCCGCCGATAATGCACCACCGCTCGCCATTGTTGATCGCATGAGTCGAAGAGTCTAGCTTCACTCTTCAAATACCAACAGTTTCTCTCGCTAATGCAGCGCAAGAAATCATAAAAATAAGCACTCTTCTGCACGTTTTTTGAGTGCCGTGACTGGCTTATCACGTGGTACGTATGGGAGACCGCCATTGGCCGCTGCGCGCCTGTATGTGCTGTGAAACCTATTTGCGGAGTCCATGTCTTGCCAAGCAGCGCAGCTGAACAATACTTTTCTCGTGTAATTATCTCCGTTATGAATGAAAAAAGGAATTGCTCGCAAGTGAAAGCCGTTGTGCGGCATGCTCTGTAGGAATAGGCTACAAGCAGCTGGTCCAATTTGCAGCAGTTAATTTGTTGGCTTGCAAAAGCCAATGCGTCAAAAGTTATTCACACCCGCCA